ACAGGCGCGTCAACCCAACAAACCACACATTGGACGTGGTCCCCAGGCCATCACATGCCCTTCCCTCCCCTCCTGAAGCTCTCACGCCCCTCTGACCACCAACTTCTTTTTCCCCACGCCTCTGCCTGCCCCACCTTCTTACCCATGAAACAAAGGGGTTTTCATGTCTGGATCTCCATTGCTAGAGCTGCCATGGCAGATGAATCAAAGTTCAATAAGAGTGGAACTGGAACAATTTGGTGCAAAAAAAGAAGAGAGAGGGATGATAGATCAGAACGTACCAGGCAGTAGGCACCAGCAAGGGTGGAAAAAGAGATGATCCTTTCTCCTCCTGTTCAGGTCCTTCCTCCTTGCCTTTCCCTTTCTCCCTCACCAAATTTCTCTTTGCAAAAGTAGCTTCTTCATAGTTGTTGAAGATAGCATAAACAGAGATTAAAACGGGGAGATCTGGTACTTGTGCTCTTTTAACTGATTTTCATGCAACTACATCATGGGACAAGCCAACTTTTACAACATGTGTGTAACAAAACGCAGAAAATGTGCAAAAATATAGGAGAGTGCACATAGAGAATCTTATTCACACATAATGCAGAAGAACAGATGTACATGTAGCAAAAAAAAGTGGTGTAGCTACTATGAAAAGATAACTACCTACTGGACAAGAATCTGGTTTGGAAGTGTTTTTTTCCTTTGATCTTTCCACACAGTAGTATATGTGACTTTGTAGCTGAGAATTGTGTGCACAAATCTATAGCAGCTCCTCTACCCCCATAACCTGTAAAACCTACACATCATGCAAAAATGAAGCCTTAGAAAAATGAACCAGCTCTGGGTTGTATCTGTGCAACTTAACCAACACAAGTATGCAACTGACAACACTGCCATATCCATCTACTTGTGGGGTCTGAATTTCAGTAGTTGGCATCTGCAACTCATAAAAAGTTGAAGATGCCAACTCATATAATTTTAGATTCATTTTGGTTTGGCTAAAATTTTGTATGCAAAATTCCAAATGGAAAAACTTATACTACTTGTTGTGCAACTAGATCATCTATTTTGTGCAACTGCAAGTACTCCTGCATGCAATTCATATTGCATGTTTGTTCAACTATGTAATGAATTTTGAACTGATGAACTTGATGAATTTAGCATGTTTGGACACAAGAAATGGAAAAAAATAGTGAATTCTAAAAGATTACAATCTTGCAAATAAGTAGTGCAACTACATTCAAGTGCATGCATGTGAATACATGAGGATGCCAACTACTTAATGGTTCTTGTGCAAGTAAAGAAGTTGAAGATGCCTCCCTCAAAAAAAAGTTGAAGATGCCAACTCATGTGGCATTGTTGTGCAACTATTAAGAAAAGTTGGGGATGCCAACTCCTGATTGATTCTTGTGCAACTAAAATAGTTGAGGATGCCAACTCAGTGATACTATTGTGGGACTATTTAAAAAGCTGAGACTGCCAGCTCCAAAATGGTTCTGGTGCAACTACGAAAGTTGAGGATGCCAACTCGTATGATACCGTTGTGCAACTATTTGAAAAGTTGAGGATAACAACTCTTAATTAATTTTTGTGCAACTATAAAAGTTCGGGATGCCAGTACCTAGCTGGTTCTTATGCAACTGTGTAAAAAAATCACATCCCAGGCTTCTTTGTGTAGAAAAAAGAAAAGAAAAATGCCTAATACCATTTCATGTTACCTCAACAACTGTTGCAAACGATGTGCCATCTCCATACACAACTCCCACCAGCGCGGCCGCCTTCCATTTCCATCGTTTCACAATGCAGAATTGGTCACCAACCTAAAGGATGCATGGAAGAAGTTACTTGTGTGTGTATGCAGGAAAGGGGAATGCACCCACAGTGCTTGCTCGATACTTACCTCATCATCCTCTACCTCCCTATCGATATCAACACGACGAGACTGCCGATCGGCATGCCGTTTCGAATTCTGCCGAGAAGAATGGTTTGCAGACCCCTGCATAAAACAAACAAAACATAGAACATGGTAGGAAAACCCCAAAATAATAGTTATTATAATTGAAAACAAAACTGCTACAAGGATAAATGAAAAACAACGAAAAAGCGAGCATGCCTATCCTTCACTAGGAGCCACATCTCCTTCTACAACCATTTTTGGTCTGCTAAAAAAAGCGAACAAACAAATTAGTCGCAGCAACCAAATGTATAAAGAAAAAATGAGCAAGAACAATTGATATCAAAAAAGTGCCATGAGGTAAGCAACTCATGCTGATTTTTCAAAGCACACCTACCAAACAAAACAAAATTGTGTGCAACTTGATGCACTGTATGGCCAACTGGGCAGATATTAGTGTGCAACCAAAAAAAAATCAGCATACACACTGCCTGAAGATGATGTAGGCACTGGAGCCAAAACTAAACTAGTCGATAGCCATTCCCTGTGAAACTGCATAACTGTGGCAAAGCCAACTAGGATATGAACTGCTTAGATCTACAAACTCCTCACGTATACACTTGAAAACAGGGCACACTTGAGTGTGCAACCAAAGAACCACACGCACACATGACTGTGCCGACACACGTGTGCACCTCTGTGGCCGTGCGTGTGCGACTGCTTGGAAGTGAGTGTGCACCTCCGTGATCGTGCGTGTGCGACTACGTACGCGGACGAGAGTGTGCAACTCTGCGGCCGGGCGTGTGCTCCTATGCCGACAAGAGTCGACAAGAGTGTGCAACTCCGCAGGAGTGCATGCGTGACTACTCGAACAAGAGCGTGCAACTCCACGGCCGGGCATGTGCTTCTATACCGGCAAGAGTGTGCAACTCCGCGGGCGTGCATGTGCGACTACGCGGCCGGGCATGTGCCAAAGAGTGTGCAACTACGCGACCAAGCGTGTGCGACTATACCAACTAGAGCGTGCAACTCTGCGGCCACGCGCGAATATGTGTGTGTGCAACATTTTTGACTGGTCCCTAAATGAGTTGTGGCTGAAGTGCTTCTTTTTTGCATGATATTACCTCAGTAGTATAGTGTTTGGCTAGAATCCAAAAGCTTTGAACTCTGAAAAATTTAGCAAAATGGCGTGACGGATCTGAAAGAGCAACTCAATCCCTTGAGGAGAATGGAATGACAGAAATCAGCTGTTAATGCGTAAATGTTGAGCAGTAGTAGTCTGTTTGTTCAACCAAGAATTGATAAAAAAAAGTAGGAGAAGGAAGCTAAGCTACCAAAGGGGGCTGCTGTTGTTGGTCATCAAATTACCGAATCAATGAAGGAGTCCAGGCATCGTGTGAAGCCGCAGATGGAGGAGTCCAGGCACGTCGAGCCTCAGCGAGCGCCCGAGCTCTGGGGACAGCCTGATGACGCCCCAAAGTCGGCCGCCACCATAGTCGTCCCCACCACCAGCCGCCGCCGGAACACGGACGCCAGCCCCGCGAACTCCTGCGCCGGCGAGCTGGAGCACCGCAACGACGTCGGGCCCCCGCAGCCGCCGCCCATCGCCGGATGGTGGCGCCTCACCGTGTCCATCCCGCCTTGCCGATCTAGTCTTTTTTGTCACTGCCCGCACAGTTGCCGGATCTACAAAGAGATCTCTTCGCCTGGCCGCTACTGCACCAATCTCCCCTTTGCACGCAGTCATGGCGGCGATTCCCCGCCAGCCGTGCCCTTCCTTCTTTGCCGCTGATCGATGGGATTTGGGTGCAAATGTGGGGGATTTCTGTTTTGACAACGAACAGGAGAGATGAAGGAGAGAAAGGGATCGGGGAGAGACAGTCGTCTGTGCGCCGCTCGAACCGTCCACTCCCTTCCACGGCTTGTGGGGCCATTGACGTGTCGCAAGGTGGGTTGTGTGTACGCCTGCACGGTCCTGACCAGGTCGCACCTGACGCACGCTTCAGATCAGGACGCGATCGTGCGGTCAATAACCGGCCGCTTGAGTTGATTAAATAGTGCGTGTGCACTTTTAAGTTTTCAGGCTAGTAAAAACAACTGCAAATTAGCTGCACTTTTGATTATGAAAGATTAAACAGTCTATGGCACATCTGAAATTATGATTTGAACAACGGAACACAGCAAGATTAACCATCACATTTTGTCTTTTATTATTCATATCAATGTTACACAATTTTATTCATGGCTACACCCACACAAAGACAAATTCAGTTCATGCTGCCCCCTCCTTGGCCCGCTCGATCTGACACCAACCGAGGCGGGTGAGCGACTGGTTCTCTCCTTATTGCCCATCTACATGTTCGGCTTCATCTTGAGCCGCGACGCCAGCTTCTGCCCGAGGGACGCGTCACACTGCAAATAGCATTGGTAAAAACATTGGTTGTCTACAATGTGTGTGTTCATATGATCCAGGTATACATAAGTACATACACTCCATTACTGAATATTAGGGCATCTTCAGCCGCGCCCCCAACAGGCCCCCCAGGCCACTTTTTCGGCGCCGGCGCCGAAAAAACGGTCCAGTCTCGCCCCCAGGACGCCGAAAATCGTCGGTTTGGACCTTTTTTCTGCCCGGCGGTCACAGGCCGAACCCGGCGCGCTGGGGAGCAGTTTTGGGCTCTGGCGCTAGGGAAAAGCACGCCTGGGCCACACCGATAGGGGAAAAGTCAAGGTTTTCTTCCCCCGACTCGCCTCGCACCCCCCGCGCCCCACTAGCTATATCCCGGCGACGGCCGCCGCCCTACTCCGGTAGATAGCCATTCCCCGCCGGAAAATAGCAGCGCTTCGCCGCAGCAGCCCCTCCCACAGCAGTTGGGCGTTTCCGGCCGCGGAGGCGCGGTTTAACGGCGGGTACACGCCCACCGAGCGCAAGATGTTCGGCATTTTGCCTGTCTCGGCGATGGACTCGGATGAGGAGGAAGAGCTCGCCGCGCTGCTGGAGGAGGAAGCCGCGGCCGACGTCCAGGAAGAAGAGCATCTCATGGTGCTCGCCGCCCTCGCCCAGCTGCTGGCGAGCAATGAAAAGCCGCGGCGAGGTGGCTCGGCGCCGGGGCGGGTGAAAGCAAAGAACCGGCATCGTCTCCAAGGCTACTGCATGCTCTACTCTGACTACTTCGCCGATGCTCCACTTCATGGCGAGAGAACATTTCGGCGCCGTTATCGGATGAGCCGAAAGCTCTTTCTCAGGATTGTGAATTCCATCTGGGAGTTCGACAACTACTTCAAGTGCAAGATGGATTGCACTGGCGCTCTTGGATTCATCTCCATCCAGAAGTGCACGACGTCGATGAGGATGCTTGCATATGGAGCTCCCAGTGATTCACTCGACGACTATGGGCGCATGGCCGAGTCCACCAGCATAGAGTATTTCTACAAGTTCTGTCAGGCACTGGTGGCAGTGTTTGGGCCACAATACTTGAGAACACCCAATGCGGAAGACACTGCTCGGATCCTAGCCCAGAATGCAGCAAGAGGATTTCCTGGGATGCTTGGAAGCACCAACTGCATGCATTGGAAATGGAAGAACTACCCATTTGGTTGGCAGGGGATGTACAAAGGCGCCAAAGGCGGTTGCAGTGTGGTGCTTGAGGCGGTAGCCACATAGGACCTCTGGATTTGGCACTTCTTCTTCGGTATGCCAGGAACTCACAATGACATCAACGTGCTGCAGTGCTCTCCTGTTTTTGCCAAGCTCGTTGAGGGCCATTCTCCTCCGGTGAACTTCGAGATCAATGGGCACCAATACAACAAGGGGTACTATCTAGCTGACGGCATCTATCCGAGATGATCGACATTTGTGAAGACGATCTCAAACCCTGTGGCGGGAGGCAAGAACGCCTGGTTTGCGAAGCTTCAGGAGGCTTGCAGAAAGGATGTCGAGCGGGCATTTGGTGTGCTCAATCTCGATTTGTTGTTGTTCGGTACCCCGCTCAGACCTGGTCCAAAGATCAAATGTGGGAGATTATGACTTGTTGTGTCATCTTGCACAACATGATCATCGAGAGCGAGCAAGAAGACCCAGTGTTTGACACTGAACCATACTACAGGCAGGGTCCTCTAGCCGAAGTTGATCACCAGCTACCGGCAACTTGGACTGCCTATCTCAGTATGCGTCAGGAGATCCGAGACCCACAGGTGCATCATCAACTGCAGAAAGATCTGATTGAGCACCTATGGAGGCTCAAGGGGGACGCCGTGTGATGAAATACGAGTTTTTATTTGTTGAACTATATAATTTGTATTGAACTATTTGTTGTTGTACTATTTTGTTGAAGTATTTGATTTTTCTGTGATGAAATATGTGATAAGAAATAATTGTGTTGATAATTGAACGCCAAGACACGGCGAAACCACGTCGAATATGGGCCTATTCTCGCCCATATGGGCCCTTTATTCGCCGATATTGGGCTGCAAAGTGGGCCAATTTCGACGCCTGAGGGCGACGACTGGGCGCAAAATCACTCCCAGCGTCGTATCTCACTCAGATGGGCCGCGCAGGAAAGAAAAGCTGATGCAACTGCCGTACAGGAAAGAAAATAATAATCCAAGTTCACAGGAAAGAAAAGCCATACTCTTTTTTTTTGGGGAGGGAAGAAAGAAAAGCCATACTACAGCAGGACAAGTATTTCTCAGATGGGCCTATCTCTGTCTACGTATCGTATCTCACTCAGATGGGCCGCGCTGCATGTCTTCTCCAGCCCAACCACATGGGCCAACAGCCCATGAGCCCTTCTAAGCCGCGAGCCTGCGACCGAGGAGGAGGCGCTGCGCTGCTGCGCGCTCCCTTATATTAGTCCCACCTCGCTAGTTCACGCGGAGAGGTACCGGTTTATAAGGCGAGGCGCTGCAGCTTGTAGCACGACCTTACTTGAACAGGATCTGTTCTATAGGCTCGTACCGTTGCATCCTTTACCAATAAGGAGGCAAGCACTCAAGTCTGGTTGATGACCTCTGACCTCTGGGCCAGAGCGTGATTAACGGCCAGGATTCATCTGATGGATCCGACGGCTGTAGAGGATCGTTCCTGCCTGGCTCAGCCTGTGCAGGGTGGCCCAGAGGTTGTCTGACAGACTCCAAAATCTTTTTTTTTTTGCGTTCCTATTTGAAATTTTTAGTAGCATAAAAATCTCTTGATCTGAAATTAGGTGCCCTTTTGTTTATGGCAATTACCACATCTGAAATTATGATACAGCAGTGGCAGGAAAGCCACACAAAAGTGGATCATCAAAAACTTCTACTATCAGACTGAAGATGGAACACAGCAAAGATTAACCAACACATTGTCTTTTATTTTCTCTTTTGCACAGACACAATACGACAGACGAACTGTATCACAACACCCACCATCATGGGTATTACATACAATATTCATTACACATTTTTATTCATGGCTACACCCACACAGAGACAGATTCAGTTCATGCTGCACCCTCCTTGGCTCGATCGACGCCAACCGAGGCGGGTGAGCGACTGGTTCCCTCCTCCTTTTCCATCTACATGCTCGGCTTAATCTTGAGCCGCGATGCCAGCTTCTGCCCGAGGGACGCGTCACACTGCAACAGCATTGGTAAAAAGCATGGTTGGTTTCAGTGTGTTTAGATGATATAGACACAAATAACAGTAGAGCAGTGTGCATGGTCACCCACTGGCAACTGGGAGTGAATAAAAGACAGAAGAATGTACCTGTGACCAGTATGAGACCCAGATGCCCTGGATTTCATGGGTAACACGAGCATCAGTGAGCGCATCAACCCAGCGCTGTAGGAAACGGTCTTGCCTGTGTTTTCATATAAGAAACAGTTCGGTTAGCAACGATGCTTGATTTCTTCTATGTGCCTAAAGACTTGAAACAAATCAAACTGAGTTTGGGATGGAACCTGGCAGGGTCGAAGGAACGGTATCTCTCGCCAGCCTGCTTGAAATTGTTCTCCTTCTCGATGATGCACTGCAGTTCCAAAAGTACAAATGTAGCAAACCATTTGTCAAACACATGGTGGTTTTTAATTCACAGAGTATTTTAGTCATAAATAATAACTGGAAACAGTTCTTATGGCTCAATGGCCGACGAATGGCAGTGGTGAGACAAGAATTCTGTCATTCCAAGTTGCATACCTTCTCCCGGCAGCCAGATAGAACGCGAGGAGGGATAGGGTACTGTTCAGCATGACGAGTAGGATCAAACCTTGAAGGGAAGTAGTTCACCTGGAAATCAAGCCAAATATATGTAAATGCAGTGAACTTGAAACATAACTACATACATATTATTTCTGTCAATCGGAGGAAATACTGCATCATGCAAGCAGAAGGGGATGAAAAAGTTTTAAAGAAATATGTACCTCCTCATCCCTGTGCATGAAATTCATTAAGCCATCATGATGGTTGTTGTGGTGAGCACATTTCGGGGCATTCACAGGAAGCATCAAGTAGTTTGGACCGAGACGGTGCCTTTGTGTATCAGCATAGGAGAAAATCCTTGTCTGGAGCAGCTTATCATCAGAGTAGTGGATTCCAGGGACAGTGACTGCTGGGCAGAAAGCAAGTTGTTCATTTTCTGCAAAGAAATTATCAATGTTCTTGTTGAGCACCATCCGTCCAACTGGTTGCAGTGGGATGATATCCTCTGGCCAGGTCTTGGTGACATCAAGAGGGTCAAAGTCAAATTTATCCTCATGATCAGCATCAATGGTCTGAATGAAAAGCTTCCATTCTGGGTAATTCCCAGCTGCAATAGCATCAGTCAGGTCCTTTGTGGCATGGGTGTGGCAGGTGCCTCCTACAGTAACGGCTTCATCATCTAAGAGGCACTTCACACCACACGTAGGCTTCCAATGGAACTTAACAAGGTGCGCCTTTCCATCCCTGCTGATTAAGGTGTAGGTGTTGACACCAAAACCGTCCATGTGCCTGTAGTTGAGTGGAATGCCAACATCATCAAAGAGGAAGGTGAACATGTGCAGACTCTCCGGGTGGTGCGAGAAGAAGTCAACTATTCTCCAGTTCTCCTGCATGTTGGTCTTTGGACTTGGCTTGAAAGCATGGACCATGTCAGGGAACTTCATCCCATCTCGGATGAAAAACACAGGCATATTGTTCCCAACAAGGTCAAAGTTACCCTGAAAAATGCATGCCACGAGATGTCAGTTAAACTTACAGGTTGACTGAAAAGGTCTGCAGCAATAATTATCCAAGTGCAGATGATAAACAGTTTACTACATAAGGGAAAATAAGGTGGGACAGAGGACTCAATCGTTATAAACAATGGTAAATTTATACTACTACATAATGGAACATGTGCTATGGTTTCAACTTCCATCTTCCAATAGCCACACGCTGGCAATTGTTGATAGAACTAAAAAGGCATTCAAAGCAGCCAGAATTTTACTGTACCAGCTAAAACAGGCTAAAGAGTCTTTTACTATTTAACAGGCTTGGACAAAAAGGCATTATGGCGAATGACATGCTAAACAGAAGATAAACTGCTCAAATGTGATTGTACACAGCATAAAGTAGCTGTAATAATAATCTCATCTCAAAAGGGTAACATGAAATATGACACTAAGAATGATCATTAGTACCTCTCTGGTGTAGAACTTCACTGCAAAACCACGTGGATCCCTCAAGGTCTCAGGGCTTCCACGCTCATGCACAACGGTAGAGAACCGGACAATAACCGGGGTCTGAACCCCAGGAGCCCGGAGGAAATCAGCGCAAGTGAGCTGAGAAACATCATGAGTCACCTCAAAGAACCCCTTAGCACTGGCTCCCCGTGCATGAACAACACGTTCAGGGATACGCTCCCGGTCAAACTGTGCAAGCTTTTCAATCAGATGGTAATCCTCAAGAAGGATAGGTCCTGTGAAAGGAAGAATTCATCATTATGCCGAGTAACAAATTATCCACGGGAGAAGATAAGAAAAGCAGAAGCTTCTGGGCATAGCTACAGATACAAAAGAGGAAAAATCACACCGGGCAACTTCAGGTAGCTTTTGCAATCACTTTCAGGAAAATTGGCATTTTGTTACGACAGCCAGCCATGTTTGGAGTTTGGAATTCCAATCGCTTTCAAAGTTGGGGAGTTATGCTGAACAATCAAACTTTGATTTCGAACCAGTTTTGAAGCTTGCGCTATGCCAAACATAGATGAATTGTTGTAAGATTATCTTTTCTTGTGGGTGCAGAACTTGGTCCCTACCTACACCAGGTTAGTGCTATGAGCAAATGCACTGAAGAGTAACGGACCACCAGACGGCCCAGACAGATCACTATCTAGGAGCCTCCAACCATCTCACATGATCGGATAATCACTATGACTGGACCGTGACATGCCATGCCGTGTGAAAAAGGTATTGCTTGTTAGCTTCCCCGTTGATTGAGCAACCCTATGGCATGACAGTGACTGACGAAAATATCAAGCTTCCTATATGTTTGCAACAAAAGTTTTGTCAGGCTGGACCACGGAGCACGGCGTGTTGTGAATGAAGCTACAAGGAGCGCCCACAGAATTCAATCAAGCGCTTACAGGAACCAAACCTAAGCCGGTAGGTGAATGTATCGAATACTAGTAGTAGATGTAAACGGCATGTGAATTGACAGCAAGGCCAGGGTGCTAACGCCACAGCAGAGGGAAACTTTCGCAGATCCAGAGGCAATCGAGCCGAATAGCCCCCGAATCTGGCCACCAGAGAGGTGATCCAAACTAAGCTAAGCTACGCTTAGAGGCAGGTGGTTGGGGTGGGTTACCGACCTCGCTGGCCGACGGTGAGGGCGTTGTTGTTGTTCCAGACGGGCGCGCCGGAGTTGGTGGTCCAGTAGCCGGAGTTGGCCCCGCTCGTCGGCCGGTGCTGCAAACAACACAAGAAACCAAGAGAACCGAGCGCGTCAGATCAGCGGATCGCGGGGCGACAGGGACATCCGAACCGGCGATCCGGGCCGGCCGGCTGGCCGGCGAGGCCGGATCGGCGGGGGAAGAAGGGGAGGGGAGGTGCTACCTTG